CACACACACACACACACACACACACACAAACATTTATTTATTTATTTATTTATTTATTTATTTATTTATTTATTTATATAGTTCAGTAATTAAATGAGTTTTGCACACTGTGTTTAATACAGTTTCATACACCACATTATGCAGCCGGCTTGAACATGGGGTCATTAGCAAAGAGAATCCCCACACCTTGATCCCCTCCCTTTTTGGTGGGGCACAGGGCAGAGACTGAGGTTGGGAAGGGCTCGATGGCGGGCTCTCTCTGTCCAGGAATCTGAGGGTCAGGCTTAAGTGGGAGAGTGACTCCAACTCCAGGCCCACCGGCGGGGACATCAGGGAAGGAAGGCAAGGTCACAGGCTGGCCCAAGGCAGGCAGGACTATCACTGTTCCCTTTGCATCATCGTGGGGTGTGTTCTCATGTTCTTGCTCGTGGTGATGGTGGTGGTGCTCGTGTTCATGTAGGTGACCGTGCTTGTGGTCGTGGTCCAGAGCCAGCTCGTGGTCATGTTCATGGGTGTGCACACCTACAGCGTGCTTGTAGTCATGGTGGTGGTTGGGGGAGTCACCGCTGTGGTTGTGTGCCTTGGCATGATGAGTGTGCACATGATCGTGGTTCAGACCGTGGTCGTGGGAGTGGTCATGAGCGTGCCTGTGGGCGCTGCCTGTGGCATGGTCATGTGTGTGGTGGTGATTGTGGTCATCAGTTTGGTTTCTGTTGTGGCCATGATGAGAGTGGCTCTTGGTGTGGTCGTGGCTGTGTGAGTGTGTGTCGTTGTGGCTGTGGTCAGTCTCTCCGCCCAGCAGGTGGAGCTTCATCTGTCTCTTAGCAGCCTGGAGATTTTATACAGAGTGTACTATAATAAAGAGTTTACAAAACAGAGCCAGCCCAAGGCATAAGGAAACTAAGCGCCTTCTTAGGTCCCCCATCACCATTTATTACTTACACTGTTCCCTATGCGACTGAAGGATATTTGAACAATACAGATATGACATGTTAATGAGTCTTACCTCAGGCTCATAGATCTCACAGTCGACATTAATTTGCTCCTCATCAAAAAGAGGCTGGAAGAGGGATGCCTTACAGAAGCCCTTGTGCTGAGAAGAGAAAAAGAAGAAAAAACTTAAGAAAGCAGAGGATTGAGGATGCCTGTGGTTTTACTACGGTGGAACAATTACACATACTGAATGAAAAAGTAATCCTCTGCTGTCACAAACTAGTCAGTAGAACTTAGAACACACTGGATCAGAGCTTTGAGTGGAAAGCAGAGGTCTTTGATTGCAGCATTAAAACTAAAATGACTCCCTGATCAGAAAAGTCATACTGCACTCACTGATCTCATCAACCCATCTGACTACAACTTTACATGAGTGAGACTAATAATTCTTTCTCCTGACTCACAGCAAACTCGCAGTCCATAGGGCGGCAGTTCTCAGCCGTCACTGCTTCTGTGCTGTGGGGGCAGGTGGTCTCCTGGATGGTGTATTCTACACGGTAAATTGAACCTGCGACAACCTGGAAACACAAACACAAAACGCATAACAATATGTCAATCTAAATGAGAGTCCATGATGAATAAAGGATCTTTCTTTCTTTCTTAATATTCTCATTCATTTCAGATTGATCGAGGGCTTTTCAGTGAACCTTTCGCACAAAGTGACAATACTGAATTATAATAGTTTAGCCCAGAAGTAATGACTGTATGCGCTAGTTTTTCAGTGTCACCCAGTGTTAGGTTGATTTTGATAATAGTTGTCATAGTTGTACTTAAATTAAACCTCGTCTTTAACTGCAGACATTGCATGTAAGGTTCTGGGTGTCCTTATAGGATGTTTTACTTCCTGCCCTTTATGCCCTCACCTGTGCTTGTGTATCATGAGACCATTAAAAAGGGGTTAAGCCATATACAGGGTGACCAGCAGGAAGTCACGTATATAGAGACACAGAATAAAAGGCTGAAGGGGAGACTGGTTCTTTGGAGTCCTCTGAGGTCGAGGGCAGAGGTGCTGCTCTGAGATCCGACCAGGCTTCCCTTGCACGCAAGTTAAAACCGGTTAAACTGTTTGTCTTGCTTTGTTAACAGGTGATGATGCTCTGAACCAGTGGGGCTGCTAGGGTAGACCCAACACTTAGCAATTATCCACAGAAAGTATTTGGTTAGATAGCATGTTTCTATGTCACATATCTTGATGTTTCTTTTGGATATGTGGTAATCTGACCTGTGCAGTAGCACGGGAGATTTTGAGCAGAGTGAACCGATTGGCCGGCCTGCTCTGGTTGTGGAATTTCTCCAGAGACTGGGTCACAGTCTTCTGAACTTCAGCTTCCTCATTATTGCGAGGTAAATATGGACAGCCGGCACAGCCCTCATGCACCCTACCTGCAGGAATTGAGCAGAACAAAAAAGTGGTTTTAAATGTTGGCGTTGCACGAAACCTGTAATTTCACCAAATTGTCTCATAAGGTGCAGCTTGTTTTTATTTTTCCTCCATAAAGTATGCTGCTGTATATGTAGAACTGGTTGTCATCATAGATATGATCGTTAAAAATCGCAACTCCTTTTTTTATATATATGTAATATTTTTCATACCTGGTCTGATAACACAGCTGTATTTGTAGAGGCGCTCCACTCTATGCACCTTATTGATGAAGATAGCAGCTTTGCACTGTCCATATACCTGCAAACACAAATACAATATATCAATACACTAAATGACTTTTTCCCCTTCCAACTTCTGAAGTAATGCTTATGCTTATGGAACAAAAACCTAAGATGCTCACTATGCTGAAATAGAATTTCAGTTAGGCCCGGAGCTCCTACACTTTTGCACTTTTGGTGGTACTGTGTTAGGCCCCCTCCTCGCATTCAGAGATGGTCTCCTTTTCACATGCCTCCTTGACTCCGCCCTCAAACCAGCGTTCCTCCCTGTCCAGGATGTTACATCCTCATCATTGAAAGAGTGTCCACTGGCCTGTAGGTGTGAAATAGCTGCAGAGTCCTGGCCTGACGAGGTGGCTCTTCTGTGTTGTGCCATCCGCTTAGCAGAGGTTGTTTGGTTTCCCTGATCTATGAATCCGATACTCCTGACACGTACGGGATCACTACAGGTTTTCTCTTAGGCAGTCGGTTGTCCTTCTCTCCTGGATCGGCTGGAGCTTTCTTTAGGAGCCTTCCCAGCTTTGACAAAAGTCCAGCTGGGATAACCACATTTACTCAGGGCCTTCTTGATGTTCTTCTGCCTCCCTGGCTGCTGTGTCAGTGGGGATGGTGTTCGCTCTGTGTTGTAGCGTCCTGATGACGCCCAGTTTGTGCTCCAGTGGATGATGAGAGTCAAACCTTAGATACTGATCCGTATGTGTAGGTTTACGGTACACGTCAGCTTTTAGATGTCCCCCATTACTGATGGAAATCTCACAGTCTAAGAAGGCTAACCTGCCACTTTCATATCCTCCCTGGTGAATTTGATGTGTTCGGTCCACCGAGTTAATGTGATCCGTGAATTGTGGTACGTCCTGAGATTTGATTTTCACCCAGGTGTCATCCACATATCTGAACCAATGACTTGGAGGTGTTCCAGGGTGCCCTGCACAATTTTCAAAACTTTAAGACGTATCTAAATGTTTCCTGGTCAAGGATAAAATCAGGATAGATATATTTTAAATGTGTCAGTCTAGCAGAGAGGTCAGTCATACCTAGCTGTTGATTAATTAAGCCAAACATCCATCCTTGCTCGTATTTTCAGTGTTGGACATTTTATTTGATACTCTGGAATTGGTGTGATGAGGCAGGTACACAGACGAAGATTATTGGACGAGCTTTTGGAAAAAAAATAAGTAAATTATGTTTCTTATTGGTTCAATTACTTCATTTAATTAACTGCTGTGGGGAACAGATTTGGATATATTTATACTAAAGTATGACAATATGAACTTTTGGCTGACTTCAGGTTTGCGGCATTTGATTGGAGTCTGGTCATTTCTGTTATACTGCAGTTAGCAGAGATGGGCAGTAACGCGTTACTTGTAACGCGTTACTGTAATCTGATTACTTTTTTCAGGTAACGAGTAAAGTAAGGGATTACTATTGCAAAAACGGTAATTAGATTACCGTTACTTTCCTCGTAGGAACGCTGCGTTACTGCGTTACTAAAACCGTGATTTTTTTGCGAGAATGTCTCATGACAGTGACGTAAGCGAGTGCGACCGTTACGTGACAACAGCTGTGTGCAGATCAACAATGGATCATATATCGAGTGCGGGAGAGAGTATGAGCGTGCAGCGTTTAAAGCGTGGAAGTACTGACCTTACTTTGAGTTTGATTCCATAAAAAGTGACAAAAACATTAGGTCCGTTGTGCGTGGGAAGAAAACTTCTTTTTACAGCGAAAAAACCCCTAAACTTCCAAGCAAGCACCGAGTGCGCAGACGTAATGGGAAATTCACAGAGAAACTCGCGGATTCTTCCACTGACCGCGGCACACCTGCACCAGGGTAAACCTCCGCCTACCCCACTCCTGCTTTACAGGTGAAAATAGAGCAACAGGACCGCTGAGTCTTTGACTTTATTTATTTTCTGCTGTGTTTTACTTGCATCTATTTGAAAGACTGAGTGTAAACACAAAAAATATTTTATTTTATGTGCTGGAATGTGCAGAAAATAGGTTTAAATGTTAAACTAATTTCTTCCAGTCAGAGAATGTTGCATATAATTAATATTTTGCTTGATGCATAAAGTTAAAAGATTAAAACTAATAAAACAAGTTTTAAAAAGAGACTTTTCATTTGATTACATTTTGTATGATGGATTATGCTAGAAAAAGTAGAATTGGGCTGAAAGATCTATTTTATCACCTATTCAGGTTGTAAATCGTGTTTTTAAAAAGTAACTAAGTAACTAAGTAATTAATTACTTTTGAAAATAAGTAATCAGTAAAGTAACGGGATTACTTTTTTGGGGAAGTAATCAGTAATTAGTTACTGATTACTTTTTTCAAGTAACTTGACCAACACTGGTCCAAGAACTGGATAAACTTCGTGTTTGCCAAGGTTCAGTTATGAAACACTGTATTGGTGTCAAGGGACAGATGCCTGGGCACGGTTTCAAAGACAGTGATGGAAGAGGCAATAAAATAGTCGGAGTCGACGTAAGTGACCAGAGACTCACTAAAGATGACAGAGAGGATGTAAATGTGGCATGCATGTGTGAATGTGGCAGGGACACTCAATTCAATTCAGTTTTATTTACACAGCACACAAATCACAACAACAGTCCTCAGGGGACCGTTGTTCATCGATTCACCAAAGACTCAGCTTTCCATAATCGCACTCACTCTCTTTTCCTACTCTTCTGTCTTGCCATCACGTCATCGGGAGTAGCAGACTGACAGTAATCCCGCTCTAAACAAACCCGCCTGGGAAGTGACTATGCGAGAATACACACAGCCAACACACAACACACCAGGCACAACGTGGAGAAATACTGGGATGCGACCTATATCACTAGAGACCGGAGAAACTAAACCCAATTGTAAAGCGTGTTGTGTGTGTGGGTGTGTGTGTGTGTGTGTGTGTGTGTGTGTGTGTGTGTGTGTGTGTGTGGGTGTAGTAGGTTGAGGCACATGTACGGACCGAGGTCTCCCCACGATGGCTCAGAGGAGGAGCTGCGTCAGACCGAATGTATCCGTGTGATTCTCAGAGAGGAACAGCTTGTTATTTCTCTCCTCCTGGCCCAGCAAACCGTTGTCACACTCAGTATATGGATTTTAATCTAATTACATCCATAGACGAGCTCCTTCATCTGCTCACTCAGTGGCTCGTCTCTTACAGCTACTTAATTAAAGGCTGTGCTTGTGCGAGATCTTAATAAAAGTTTGTGACAGGTTTAGTTAAACACACTGAAATGTTGCTTCCAGCTGCTAAATTACTCTTTCATCTTCTGTAGTCGGAGAGAAAAGAGTCTTTCAAACTCAGGTGACTCTAGTAATCCATAAGAAATGTGAATAACTTTCATTGATATATGCAAAAATACAGAAACTCTGAATATTCCTGTTTAAAACGGAATATTTTACTTTTTTTTCATATTTATTTTGTTTTTCATTCCTTTATTTGACTTATATTTTTACTGTTCTTGAATATCTGCTAGTACTGAGTTTGATTCACTATTTAACAATAGCTGAGTTTGAAATAGGTGGAAATTCTGCTGCTGACACCAGAAGACATTTATGTTGGAACAGAAAGCAAACAGCCTCCAATGTTTCATCTTAACTAGAACAAAGTGTTTGGGTTCAGTGTGTGACTTTGTCCTTGCCCCTCACTTTACATTATTGTAAAGGTTGTGAAACTGACGGGAGATCTTCGCATTTTCTCCCTCCCCTTATCTTTCCTGCTCGGCTTTCTCATGTCTCTGTCTAGTCTTGTCTGCTTCTCTCCTGGAAGAGTCTCACAAAACTTCTCTAAAACCTAAAAGAGGAATTATGGATTTGATCAACTGGTCCCTGAATGTGGAAACAGCCGATCAAATCCCCACAAGGCTGCTCACTATGTGTTGATTGGAACGATGGAGTGAGCCGTGGCTTCTCAGAATGGGCTCATTCAGACGCAGCACGGATGACATCTTGGAGAAGCTTGCGGCTGCTGTGAGTGCTGAGACTCTGACAACATCTGACATTGGAGAGGCTCACGCTGTCGTGAACACTCGTGCTCTATGAGCAAACTGGATAACATCGTGGAGAGGATCACTGCTCTCCAACGGGAATGGTGAGGAACCAGTGATGGACATTAGATCGACTGTGAAATTGACATGCAGGGGTTCACACTAAAGCAAGAACACCACCACTATTTCATGCGGCTACCATATCAGCGCCAGCTGTGGTCTCAAGGCTGGAGCTGAATATACTGTGTTTAGACTCTTCGTTCCAAACGCCCTCGTGTGCTTATCTCCGAGGCCGAGTCTGGGCCCAGCGCTGGATGCATAGCTGCAGGGCAGGATGGCTGTGTCTGCATCGGCTTACTTCTCAGTCCTCACCCACCCCTGTTGCCTGTGACGTGCTTCATGGTGTTGTGATGTGGACATTTATGCGCTCTTTGTGCAGAAGAGCACATTTGTTTCCTGTTCTCATGCTGTCCCCCACAGGAGCCCAGCATGAGTAGAGGTCTCTTTTCCCCCTCCTCGACCATTGTATTTTACATTTCAGTGTTTTTCAATAATACTACCGGTCTCCGGCCTGTCTCCCCATTCTGCTGCAGGGCAGCTTGCATGTGACAAATACTGGCTTTCTTGAGATTCCTTAAAGTTTATCATACAAGCTAACATTTATTCATAGCTAATTCTTCAGTTCAGGCTGCTGCCACTTTAATAGTATGAATGCATCCACAAAGGAAGCATTATCCAATCAGAGAATACTAACTGGTGAACACAGTGAGGGGCCACATCAAAGAGGGGCCGTGGACACCATCCATAACAATACGTTTAATGTTTTTTAATGAATGTTTATCATTGAGTCGTTTAGGTGACAGTGTCTGTAAGGTAAATATCATAAGGTAAATATCTCTCTCTTCTACAAAAGTCTTGATGTCCTTCCCGGCATCGTGTTCAATACCACAAACATGTAGAGGAGCAGCCTCATGTTTCATATCACTGAAGTGGACAGCTGTTGGATAACATGTTCACTCTTCCTATGTTTTCATTTGATACAGTAGTTTTTCCATTTACACACCTACCAGCACAGCAGGTAGGTGTGCTGGTAGGTGTAAATAAAAACAATATTTTAACAGTAAGAAGTTCGTCTACACATTTCTCCTCTCAGTTTAGGAGGTTGACTTTTTATTTAGTCACTGCAGGCCTTCACCTTCACACATCAAACCGAGCTTAAAAACAATAACACATGAAAGACAGTCCGGTTTTTATTAAACAGACGAAAGAGGCAAAACTTTTTGCCGTAGTCTTTGAGGTTGAAGTGGGTCTGTGTTTTTTGTCTTGTGTTCAGCATTGGAACAAATGCAGGTGTCGAAGAGTTACGGTCGTGGTACTTCAGCATTAAGCTACCACTACAGAAGACAAGCGAGCATAAAGCTGTAACACGTCTGTGCACTCATTCACACGCTCCTGCACACCAAATCTGGAACTACTGTCCATCATGTGTCGTCCTTTTTATCTACCTCGGGAATTTACATCGGTCATTGATAAGTGCCGTTTATATTCCACCACAAGCGGACACGGTCACCGCCTTATGCGAGCTGCATGAGGCACTCACACAGCACCAGACACAACACCGGGACGCTGCGCTTATTGTGACGGGGGACTTTAATAGCGCCAACCTCAAACGCGCAGCGCCGAACTTTTATCAACACATCACCTGCCCCACCAGGGGTGAAAGGACACTGGACCACTGCTACACTACGGTCAAGGACGGCTACAAGGCACAATCCCGCCCCCCGTTTGGCAAATCTGATCACGCCGCCATCTTCCTCATGCCAAAATACAAACAAAGGCTGAAACAGGAAGTTCCGGTTCAGAGGAAGGTCGCGCGCTGGACGGACCAATCGGTGGCCGCGTTACAGGACGCACTCGATGACGCAGACTGGGGCATGTTCAGAAACAGCTCCGACGATGACGTCAACGTGTTTACGGAAGCGGTTGTGGGATTCATCGGGAAACTAGCGGATGATACCGTGGAGACAAAGACTATCACAACGTTTCCCAACCAGAAGCCGTGGGTGGATAAAACCATCCGCGACGCTCTGAGATCCCGCACCGCTGCCTACAACACGGGACTCATGACGGGGGACATGGACCCGTACAAAGCCGCGTCATATAACGTGCGGAGGGCGGTGAAAGAGGCGAAGCAGCGCTACGGGAGGAAACTAGAGTCACAACTCCAACAGAGTGACTCTAGGAGCCTGTGGCGGGGACTAAGGACAATAACGGACTATAAAGCACCAACAACCGGTATGACGAACGCGGCCGTGACTCTGGCAGACGAGCTGAACACTTTCTATGCTCGCTTCGAGGCTGCAGCTAAGGTCTCCAACAATGCTAGTGTTAGCGGCGCTAACGGCTGCAGACAGGAAGATACTGCCAGCACCGGAAACGTGCTCGTCATCTCCGAGCATGAAGTAAGGAGAGCCTTCAAGAGAGTGAACACCAGGAAAGCAGCAGGACCAGACGGCATCCCAGGTCGTATCCTCAGAGACTGCGCATACCAGCTAGCTCCTGTGTTCACTGAGATATTCAACATCTCTTTATCTCAGTCGGTGATCCCCACATGCTTCAAAGAGTCCATCATTGTTCCTGTCCCGAAGAAACCCCACCCTGCTTCTCTCAATGACTATCGCCCTGTAGCCCTCACCTCAGTAGTGATGAAGTGCTTTGAACGCCTGGTCAGAGACTTCATCATTTCTTCACTACCAGACACACTGGACCCACTACAGTTCGCTTACCGTCCAAATCGTTCCACAGACGATGCCATCTCTCATCTCCTCCACACATCACTCACTCACTTGGACACTAGAAGGGGGAATTATGTTAAAATGCTCTTCATAGACTACAGCTCTGCATTTAACACCATAATTCCCTCCACACTCACCACCAAGCTGGAGCATCTGGGACTCAGCTCATCTATGTGTCAGTGGATCTCCAACTTCCTAACTGGCAGACCACAGGCAGTAAGGATGGGCGGACATGTCTCAGCCTCCACCACTCTCAGCACTGGAGCCCCCCAGGGGTGTGTTCTGAGCCCCCTGCTGTACTCTTTGTACACATATGACTGTGTGGCCACTACCAGCTCCACCACCATCATCAAGTTTGCTGACGACACCGTCGTGGTGGGCCTGATCTCTGATAACAACGAGACGGCCTACCTGAAGGAGATTAGGAATCTGGAGAACTGGTGCCAGAGGAACAACCTCCTTCTAAACGTCAGTAAGACAAAGGAGCTGATAGTGGACTTCAGCACTAAGCAGGAGAGGAACTACCAGACCCCCGTCATCAACGAGTGCCCAGTGGAGAGAGTGGACAGCTTCAAATACCTCGGAGTTCACATCACGCAGGACCTGTCATGGTCCTGTCACATCAACACCGTGGTGAAAAAGGCCCGACAGCGTCTCTACCACCTCAGACGCTTGAGAGACTTCCAACTGCCCTCCAAGGTGCTCAGGAACTTTTACTCGTGCACCATAGAGAGCATCCTGGCGGGAAACATCTTAACCTGGTTCGGGAACAGCACCATGCAGGACAGACGAGCTCTACAGAGGGTTGTGCGGTCAGCTGAGCGCACCATCCGCTCCGAGCTCCCTGACCTGCACTCAATCTACAGCAGGCGGTGCTGGACCAAGGCCAGGAAGATCGTGAAGGACCTCAGCCATCCCAACAACAGACTGTTCTCTCTGTTGAGGTCAGGAAAGCGATTCCGCTCCCTGAAGACCAACACAGAGAGACTGAGGAGGAGCTTCTTCCCGCAGGCGATACGGTCTCTCAATCACACCACCACACAGTACTGACCCACACATATGGTTCTTACACACACACTGGACTTTCTGGACTTTGTTTTTGCACAACACTGGTCACTATATTCTTCATTTCCGGTTAATACTTGTACAGCTGCTGTTATTGTGTATATATTTATTTATATTTAGATTTCTTCATACATTCTTATATAGTTCTATATTGTGTATTGTGTATTTTGTTGTACAGTTATTTTATTTTCAACTTTAATTTATATATTTTATCTTATTCTTCCCAGTTAAATTTACCCTTCATTCTAATTTGCTT